AAGGAGGGGGTGGAGGGTGATATAGGGGAAGACAAGGCGATACTGGGCCATACGGCCTGGCGGCCCCCGGGGGCTCGGGAGGGGTCCCGCCCGCCGGGGACCTGCTGAGCCCACCGTCTCTCCTGGAGGTTCCACCTGTCTCTCTCTCTGTACCTGCTGCAGTGCGGGGCGTGGGCGTGGCCTTTCGTGGGACTAGAGGGGACTTATCTAATTGATAGCAGCCGGTCGCAGAGCCTCCCACAGCCTCCGCGAGCAGCCCTCCACTTAAGTGAACGCCGCGCAGTGGTTTTGGCGCTTTGGGGCCACTAGCCGGGGCCCCGCCGGCCGGGCGGGCCTGGCCTGTGCAGTGCGCTAGGCTTTGACTCGACCGATGCCGAGGTTTGTCTATTGGCCGGCGGGGGGAGGGGGGGGGGTATAGCTTCCACTTAACTGGGCATTACTGACCTGGTTGTGCAAATTGTCAATGGTGGGAAGGACAACCATAAAATCCACGAAATCCTTTAATAGTCTCCCGCTCAGCTCCCCCACCGTGTCCAAATTCCGATTGAACTCCTCATAAACCACGCATCTGCGTTGGTGCGTGTGCCTACACAAGTTATTGTTTATTTGTGGAAATAGCTCTGTTATATATTTAATGTCATTCGCAAAATCGTCCCTCTCGCACAAATTGTCTATGACACTATTAACTGTTGTGTGGTTAATTACACTTAGGGTGCTCTCTAGGAGATTTAGAAGCTCTGGGCAATGTCCAGGCCGACAGTAAACTAATATCAGCACTTTAAAAGTGGGATGAATCAGCGGGAAACGAGACAAAAGGTACTCTCCAGTAACGGGCATTTAGTATTTTTAATTAAACCTACAACATAGGACTGTTGACAGGCGCGATTGGAGAGCAGAGAGGGACGAGCAGAGGTCAGGAAAAAACGGTTGCGCGAACAGCTGGAGACAACCTGTCGCACGAAGCAAAGACAACTTTTACGGACAATCTAAATAAAGCGCAGGTTCATCGGTAGCTTGATTAGTTAGGTCCCGCTCCGTACTGTTGCATCTGCAAGCCTCTCCCCTTCCCCTCCGTCCTCTTGTGACTTCCCCCGCGTCCCGCAGCGCGCCCGGGCCTCGAACCTCGAACCCCGCCCGGCGGCGCAACACGGGTTCGAATCCCGCCTGCAGCTGCGAGCGCCTCGGGCTGCCCAACCCCATCCTATACCCTCCACATCGTCATTGAACCATGAGAGAGAGAGAGAGAGAAAGAGAGGCAAAAACCAATCCCATGACATAAACTCCGCTCAGGCTGAACCGTGCGTAACTTGATATAACACAGATTGCGTAAACACACGGTTTCAATCAGACGTGAAATAGCGGAGCGTAGCGCGGCAAACCGGAGCAGGGCAGAGTTGCACGGAGTGGCACGTGGACGTGGGACAGGGTGGAGCCGGCCGAGCGTTTTCAGTAAGCACGAGGGGGGGCTCACTTCGAAAAATCATTGTACAGCCCCCAAAAAATCATTTGAAAAATCAAAAAAAAATCAAAAAATCAAAATAAAATCAAGTAGAAAGTTGCATAAAAATCCGAAAAATCGAGAACAAATGACCCCAAAACTGAGAAAAATGGGCACAAAACAAGAAAAAACACTAAATTTTTGTAAATGTATCTGATACAGTCGTACCCCGCTATTGGAGTCCCGCTAATGGATCGCGACCCATCCCCACCACTCCGGACCGGTCACCCTGGCCCTACCTGGGCCAGCCCCAGCCCGAGCACGGGTCCGGCCCCTTCGCCGACCCTTCTCCACAGGGGACTCGTCACCTGTCAGAGGGGGTTAGGCGACGACTCAGGCGTTGTGTTCAAAAAGTGTTCCGTTCGAAAATTTTAAAATATTTTAACTGCAACATATTCTCCGTGAAAAAACGATGCGTTTGGGTCCAAACAGCATGTCGATAGTCCAATTTTGAGTTCATCAAAAGGGCGCGATCCAATAGCGGAGAGACGCCGGCCAGGCCCGTGGTTTGCATGGGATTTCGGTCGCTTGTGTGCTTTCAAACTTTTTTTAAGCAGAGGACAATCTGGCCGTTTGAGGAGCCATAGCAAAAGAGCGCAGCAAAACTCAAGGCCGTGGACGAAGCAAAAGTCGGAGCGAAGCAAAAATCAGGACCGTGGGCGAAGCAAAAGTCGGAGCGAGAGCGGAGAGCGGAGCACAAATCAGGAGCGAGAGCGATGTTCACACGGCGAAAACTGCACGAGGAATGAGATGCACAACCCTTGCGACGCGGTCCCAGAAAAACCCAGCCAAAACCCGGCGACAGAAAAGAGACGAACAGTTGCCATCAGCGCTCCGCCATTGGATCGCCCGCCCGCCCGCTCGCTATTGGATCGCGCCCTTTTGATGAACTCAAAATTGGACTATCGACATGCCGTTTGGACCCAAACGCAACGTTTTTTCACGGAGAATATGTTGCAGTTAAAATATTTTAAAATTTTCGAACGGAACACTTTTTGAACACAACGCCTGAGTCGTCGCCTAACCCCCTCTGACAGGTGACGAGTCCCCTGACTTAGAAGGGTCGGCGAAGGGGCCGACGGGTCCCCGGGACGAGCGCCCGGCGTCTACCTGTGTTTCCCCCGCTATTGGATCGCGCTCAGTCCCAAAACGCGATCCAATAGCGGGGTACGACTGTATTGTCTTTTTCATAGCTGAAAAATCAAAAGAAAAATCAAAATCAAAAATCAAAAAAATCAAAAATAATCAAAAATCAAAAAATCATTGTACAAATTTTGTTTGAGTGAGCACCCCCTCGAGTAAGCACTACCCCGCACACGCACGCACAACGCACACAAACGCGTCACAGGGCACAGTCCGTTGGTTACACTTATCAAATCACACATTCAATCCTGTCACCATTGAGCACTCACTTTTATCAACTGACACGACTCGAAGTGTACGAGGCCGCTGTTGACTTGTGACTGACGCCCCCGAGGCCTTGCACCCTGGCCGCTGGGTCCTAGTCTACCCTCACCTCACCCTTCCTCGCCTCTTGGCCCTGTGGCTGTGGGAATGAAGGAGATTTCGGTTTTCATTTTATTACTTTCTCCCCTCTAAGACTATAGTTTATAGTTATGGCTGCGACAGTTTTTAAAGCTTTCCCAAAATCAGAGCGGCGGCGGCGGCAACGGCGCGGCGGTCCCCAATAAAGGGGCCAATGTTGCGGTGGACCTGACCTGTGACCCGGCGGGGGTGGGTGCAGTAGCCCGTCGCGCTCCACTGCCTCCCCCACCCGAGAGCTCGCCCCGCACCCGCTCTCAGCAACGCGCCCTGAGACAAGTGCACTGGAAGAACAAAGGTGCTATATCCTACCTTTGCAGGGGTGCTGTTGTATGTTAGGGGCATTACAGTGCATATTTTATGTCTCAGCGAGTCAATGTAATTTTAAGTAGCATTTTCGTATTCTCGGCATAATTCCGCGTCGAACGAGCATACATTTGATGGGGGTCAGATTCACGGTAAGCAAATTAACTGCAAGGAAATACCTACAAGGAATCCAATCATTCTCTGTTCTTTGAGATTAGAACCCTATCACATGTAGGCTCGTTCGACGCGGAATTTGACAGGGAATACGAAAATATGCCTCAAAATGCAATGACACTGCTCTTGAAAAAAATATTTCGTAAAAACATCATATGTAGTGCCTTTGCTACTCTAGTGCCTTTGAAAGGTGCTATATCCTACCTTTGTTTTACCAGTGTGTTGCTTGTTTTGCTGGACAAGTTTTGCTCAAATTCACAAGTCAAATCTCATCTAGCAAAAATTCACAGGTAGAATCAAGTCCAGCAAAAAATGCAATTCCCGTGAAACACGTGCAAGTGCGACAAAAACAGGACACGACTTCCTTAAAATTAAATCCCGCAGGAAATATAGTTAAAATTTACTTTTAAAAGATGAACACCAAACTCGAAGTTTAGGAGAACCGACTTTCAAAAGTCAGCGAAATTCAAAGTAGTAACATGGGAATATAATGGATAAAACAGAAAAACAGCGGCCAAACAGGGCAACCACCCCACCCCCACGGCCCCGCGCGTTGCACACGGTAAGAACCAAACACGGAAAATGCGGACGAGTGGAAAACCCCCGATGCCACTTTTCTAAACAGGACAATAAGGAGCCACTGAACAAAAGGGTTGACTTTCCTTGAGCGGTGGTGCTGTAGAGAGGAGGCGGCTATCACGCACGACACAGATGCACGGAGCAGAGTCCTCGTGGGGGCGCTGAGGCTGATGATGCGTCTCGTCCCGAAGGTCAGAGCAGAGTGACGGCGCCCTGGCCAGGAGTACGATCCCATGTGTCGTTCAAATATTAGACACTACGACTGCATCTCATTCAGCGAAAGTATTTGGTACATCTGACATGGTAATGCTCATTCGTTTCGAAGTAAACAAGCAGCCAGACAGGAAATGCCCAACGTAAAGACCTGACTAAAACATGGTGCAGTAGTACAAAATTGCAACTAGCTTCATTCAAGATCATTTCCTTTCTCTAATGGAGTAACAAGCACTGAAAGTACTCCAAGTCATTATGCAACACAATAAAAATAATATAATTTGAAAAATCAATCAGCAAGCCATGTCAATAGCACAGAAAGCTTTTAAGTAGCTAATAATGTAACTTGAGTCTGGCAAACTCTCCGTACTTTTTAACCATTTATAAAATAACTATTAAACTGGCACCAAGAATGTATTAATAGAAATTTGGGAGGCACACTGCATAGTGGCATTTCTATCAGAGTTTAAATTAAAACTTAATTTGTTACTTCTAAAGAAAGGAAATAAATCAAAAGTCTATTGATTGAGATCTCTCAAAAAGTTGCACCCTTTAAAATGCTGCAATCAAATCATTTACGGATGTTGTCTGCACTCTTTTCTCCAAGTGGTTCATTACTTTCTCATGATGAAGAAGTTATTGAGTAGGAGTATACTACGTCAAACTTGGTCCAAAGAAAAACTTGAATGGCCATCGTGAGGCAAGAGAACCATGACATTACGAAGGAACAAGACAAAGACGCTACAGGTATGATGAAAGCACTTACATTAATTCAAAGATGAGATGATCAGATATGGAGAAGTGCGCGTTGAGGGAAGCAAATACATGGAGACTGCCACCTGTTCAAGGAATGAGGTAGTCAGTAAACTGAATAACACTTCAGGCTGAGCTTCAAAAGTATTGCAATAACATTATCTTCTAGGCCTTACCTGCTGTTGGCCTATCCACACGTAAAGTGAGTAGCTTCAAGTCAGACAAAGCGTATCATCAAAAGTAGAAGAGCGTTGCTGTTGTGGAATTGCAAGGCGCAAAAAACATCACTGCAGCTGGAGAAAGATTCAAGACAGTACCTGGAGAAAAATTAAAGTGAACATCAGTAACAGATTGTAGTGAAACAAATTAAAAGTAGTACAAGCAGTTTATTTAGTTGGAAAATGTTATCTGATAAGAAGAGTGCATTGGAGTGAAGAGAGCGCCTAAAATATATGACTATATGACAACCACTCATAATTCCTTACCTAAAGCCAGGAGCTTCTCAAATCTCACGCGTCTCTCGACTGGGGACGTCGTCGGGCGCCGGACCTCGAGCACCCCAACAGCGTCGTTGACGGCGTCGAGCGTGGGGGGTCGGTCGTCGTCGCCACTCGTCCGTCACTCGGGGTGGCCTCGGCGAGGACCGGCAGCTTCGGTGCTCCGCTGCCATCTGGGCGGCTGCTGCTGGGTCTCGGCTTAGCGGCGCACTGTGCGTCTGCCCTGCCTAGGACTGGTCTGCTGGTCTGCACCCCGATGTCACGAAGTCATTCTGAAAGGTCTGGACGGTCTCGAAGGTCTCGATGATCTGGATGTACAGCCCGATGCCACCTGGACGGAGACCGACGCTCCGCTACCTTCTGTGCTGTCACCGCCGAGGCCCTGGTCGTTCTGCTGCTACACACGGTGCTCTGCACACGAGGCCCGGGACGGCACGGCGAGGGCGAGGCTCACTGCGTGCTGTTCCTGACAACCAAAGTTTGCCTTGGCCTGCCGCGGGTCTTTGGCAAACTGCGCATGGAGTCAGCGGCTTCTTCTTCCTCCTCTTGGAGTAGCCCACGCCACGCCCTGGGAGGCGATCACTTGGTCATCCTGAGTCTGCGAGGGACCATCAGCGCCGCGTTGTCCAGAACATTGAGGCGCTGCGGGCACTCTGGTGCGGGCACGGCGGCAGCTGGGCGGGTGGCGGGTGCAGCGCGGCGAGCCTGGTCGATTTCCTTGTTCTCCAGCCGCGAGCACTATGTCACCAGTCCGCCCAACACCGCAGGGTCGCAGGTCACCAGACTGAGATGACTGGTCATAGAACGCCTCCACCTCGAGACGCTGTAGTACGTCCAGCCAGCAGAAGTCCCTCCTTCGTTGCTCCGTCACTCTCGGACCGGAGTTTCACAGTTCGAGTTCCGGGAGGGGCCAAACCTCCACCCTCCTTTGCCCGTTCTGCCACCACACCAACGGTGAGACCTGGTACCCTGGGTGCTCTCCGTGCACGACCCGCCCTACATCGTGTCGGGCAGCGCCAGGTCGGTCCGGGCGGCCCCGAGCCCGCGCACCTGCGGCAGCCGCACCAGGCGCCTCAAGTTCGAGTGCTACGCGTGCAGGAAGACCTTCCCCGGGAAGCGGCCCCTCCCCCCTCCTGTGGCACAACAAGCAAGCCCGCCGAGGGGCCTTTCCGCTGCCCGCGGTGCCCCAAGCAGTGCGGCAGCAACGCTGTCCTGGCCACCCACATGCACAGCAAACACGGCAGGTCGCAGGCAGGGTTGGCAAACTTTATTGAATTAAATTTTAGTATTACGCACTTTCCTGTGCAAAATATTTTATCGATTTAAACATTTAGCCTCCGTGCATAATTCATTTCGCCCTTTTCAATTTGCCCTCAATGGGCAATAAAGTGCAAAATGTTTTTGCTCCTGGGCAATATTTTCAGAAAAACACATTTTTGCTCCCGTGCACCGGGTTATATTTTCGCACATTTCGCACTATATAGAACACAAACACATAATAACAGAAAAAAGACAAATTATTCTCATGGGCGGCAGAAAGCAACCCTCCCGCGGCCATACCGTTTAGTAAAGTACCCCCCCCCCCCCCCTCCTCATACCCGCCTCCCTACCTCCGTGTCGCTGGATACTCATACTCCCTACTACGTCGCCCAAACGAGCCCGTTTACCTCTCTGGCGTCCCCCCTCCCACCTTTCCCTGTCTTCCCCGTTCACACCTCTCCGAAACCTATGCAGCGCGCGCTGCCCAGCTCCAGCTTGCCAACTTGCCGTTGCACGCCTGATCGAAGGGACGAGCGGGGCGAGTGTCAGCAGACTCAGCGCAACAAACTTAGGTTGGCGAAAGTGTTACAACTCTTCATGAGGCTCTGGACTGGAGCTAGCGAGACATATTGGAGGAAGACGTCAACCATGGAAGGTCGGGGTCGGGCAGGTCGTCCACCGCTGGAATTCATCCGAAAGTATTTTGACTACAATCAAGAGGAGGACGTATCTACCTGCAATATCAACGATTGTGGCAAACTGGTAAAGGTAAGTGCGAACTTTGAAACAACACCCTCATTTGCTTACGGACATGCTATCCGTAAGTTACGGGGAATTTTGTGCAAGCGTAATACGGATTACAAATTATCCATAATACGGATGAAATCGTCCGTAATCCCGAAGCAAACAGAATAGCTGGGTTAAAGGCTGGAGCAGGCAGCCTAAAGGCTACCCAGCCAGTGGCTGGAATGCGTTTCAATTTCCAGCCACGAGGCTGGGTCGGACCCAGCCTCCTGGCCGGCCCAGGCAGCCTCGAGGCTGGGTCAGACCCAGCCTCCTGGCTGGCCCAGGCAGCCTGGTGGCTGGGTCGCGCGGCCAGCGCGCGGGTCGGGGTTCCGGGTAGTCGGGGTAGTCGCCCTCGTTGTCGCCTATTGTGTGCTGCGGGTCAGTCGCCTCTGGTATTAGCAGCCAGTAGGTGCGTAAAATAAAATTAAAAATAATTTTCTTGCCATAGCGTCTCCCAGTTTTCGCCCCAACACTTTCCCCCAACACTTAACTGCAACAATCGTAATTTCAATTAATTAATTGTATGTGTACCTTACCTTGGATTTGAACCCGGGACCTTCGCATTGTAGAACCGCGCCCTTACCCATTCGGCTGCGGATTACCTGCTGGGAGGGGACGGACAGCGACCGGTGTCATCGCTCCGGTGGACAAGGGGACTGGGGAGACAGACATCGTCCCTCCCTATCACGGAGTGTTGGAAGCGCAGAGCGGGCTTGTTACGATTAACCATTCCTTTCCCTTTCTATTGCGAAATTTACAATACGCTGAACGCCAAACACTCCGCGCGCCAAAGGAGGTGTGTGGTGGTGAAGATGCAAATGTGCAATGTTTAATCATACCACGCTAACCTTGCAGTTTCAAGTATTACCACGAACATTCAAATTTTGTCAATCTGACATTACCAATATGCCTTTTTGCCCGCGGCTGGGGCCAGGCAGATATATCGATTTTCGATGATGTAAGCGCGTATACGATACGAGACGATAGGGACCTGAATTTCAAAATTTGTCTCTAGGAGGGGCAGGGGCCCAAATCACACATATTCGATTGTCAAAATAACAATATAAATATGTTTATGAGATTCGTCTTTTTGTTTTGCCTAGCATAGAGGTCATCATACAGGGTTGTAGTTGAGTCCTTGTTCTGAATCGCCTTATTTTGAGGACTTAGATATTTTTACTCTGGCTGAGAGCGGCGTGACCCAGCCATGAGGCTGGCTCAGCCAGCCTCGAGGCTTACCATCCAGCCGGGTGACTGGCTGAACCAGCCAAGAGGCTGGGTCTTTGGTTGGGGCGGGGGAGCAGCAGGCCGACCCAGCCAGGAGGCTGGCTGAGCCAGCCCTTAACCCAACCATTCCAGGCAATTAGTCGGGTGGCTGTTGCGCCCAGCCGATAGGCTGGGTCTTTTGGGAAGTGACGGGGCTGCGGCTGGCCGACCCAGCCGGGAGGCTGGCGGACCCAGCCTATAGGCTGGACGCAGAACAAAGGGTCTAGCCTTTAGGCTGGCGGACCCAGCCAAAAAAGCAGCCATTTAGCCATTTAGCCACCAACCCAGCCTTTTACCCAGCCATTCTGTTTGCTTCGGGATATGGATGATTCTATCCGTATTACAAACATGCCATCATCCATAAGTTATGGACGAAAACAAATAATTTAACCGTACCTTACGAATCAAGAAGTGTTTGTAATACGGATGGCATTATCCATATTACGGACGATTTCATCCGTATTATGGATAATTTGTGATCCTTATTACGCTTGCACAAAATTCTCCGTAAGCGAGTCCGTAAGGAATTGAGAGTGTATGACATCTTGATTTCTTGATCACCCAAGAGATTGTGGCTTAAATTTTCTCCAATAAATATTAGGTTTCTTAATTAGCGCGTTTTTGAAACATTATTTCGTAGTGCTGAGCAGCAAGGTGCCGGAAGGTGCCCACCTCCGAAGGGGACTTATCACAGAGAAACAATTAATCGTGTATCCGGAAAATTGAGTTCTTGTATCATGTGCCCAGTTTGGGACTTGAGGCACCAGATCACAAGTACATAAACTTGTTCCTAAAACTCGGGCGCAACCTGCTTTCCTGTGTGTGTGTGTTTTGCTAATTTGTTTTGACAACATAAAATTAAAGGGTGCTTACATTCACATTGATATCCACTGGTGGACCTGTGGCCATCCTCCAAATCAACTAGAACATAATAAAACACATTATTTTCTCTCTGCCTCCCAAACCGCACATTAGGTTAACCAAAGTGAGATCTAATTTAGTACCTGGCTCCTTCTTCATATTTTCTATTTTCATCAACCTTTCAAATAAAATTTCGGGCTCTCCGCCAGCTGAGAAAGTTAAAAGTAAGATAAAACTAAACTCCTATTCCTCATGCGTTATGCAAATGCACACACACACACATACACGCGCGCCGTCAGATGCGAGTATGCAAGCAGCCCGACACGCCTTTGGGGTCCAGTGTAAGGAGACAAAAAGTTACCGAACTCACCGTCGCACTCCGGAATGACTCACAATTCGCGTAACGAACAGCCACATTCAAGATGCCGCATTCACTGTTATTGGGAACGCGATGATACAATTCACACATCTTCGCGCGATAAAAATTCTCTTGCGATTTCCACGATTTAATGCGGGTAGGAAAGCGATACATTTTCATCGCATAATTTGAGCGATGAGTATCGCATTAAAATGCGATGTTTCTAGTACTATCACATAAACATGCGATACCCATGGCTCAAAAATGCGATGACTCTGAGTATCACAAAAAGAAGAGATATTCATCACTAATGCATGCGATGACTTCATTATGACAATATTTAGCAATAATCATCACAAAAATATGCAATACTTTTTGTATCGCAAAAAATTTGCTTTCATCACACTTTGATTAACAGTGAACACTTCAAATAGGATTTATAGAAACCGCTAAACTGAACGTACCGAATAAACTTTGCGGCGGAACCCCACACTGTAAAAGTCTTACAAACTAACCCTCTGTAATTTACGATGAATTTTGTGCCCACATAATACAAACACCGTTTTATTTGTAATACAAATCGATACAAAGAAATTGCTTTGTATTATAAACAAATTGGATGTTTGTAATTACAAACGAAGGGAAATTTCCCTTTTGTAGGTACAAACATGCGATTTGTTTGTAATACGATGCGGTTTCTTTGTATCGATTTGTATTACAAATAAAACGGTGTTTGTATTATGTGGGCACAAAATTCATCGTAAGTTACAAAAGGGTAGTTTGTAAGACTTTTACAGTGCATCACATGCAGGCTCGTTTGAACGGAAATTTCACGAGGGCTTATCGAAAATAAAACTGAAGAGCTCACTTAGTTATTATTGCACGGAACCGAGCTGTAGGTACAGCATGCATCTGGATGCATGCCATAAGTACAGCAGCATCTCAATGCATGCGGTAAGTACAGTGTGCACTGTGGTGCACACCATGCATGATGTATATACACTGTGCAAAGCATGCTGTTTGGGTTGTCAGAGTTAGTTACAGTAATGCACACTGTTAAAGAAACGCAAGGAATTCACCGCCGTTGGCGGGGACTAGTCGTGAAAAATATTTCTGCAACCCCTTTGGGATTTCCCAACACTGTTAGTTCCTTACAAAGACCGGCCTTCGTATTACAAAGAATTCGGTTTGTACTTACAAAGGATTTGGCACCGCCATATTACAAACGGCTCTTCTTCATATTACAAACAGCCCCGATTCGTAATACAAAGACGCGCGCATCTCTCTGTACTTTGCGCCCTTCGTATTACAAACGGAGCTCTTCGTAATACAAAGAATTTGTTTGTATTACCAAGAGGCCAAATCCTTTGTACGTTACAAAAAGCAGTTCTTTGTAAGTAACTAATAGTGAACGATCGTCGTGATTGCACACTAAACCCTTATGTATGAAGTTGTGCATAAACCTGCAGTGATTTAAGC